TTTTATTTCTTTTCTTCTATCACAATGAATTGAATTTTCCTCCAATTGTTTGAGGGCTTGATACCTGAGAAAACCCAAAACACATTAAGAAAATAAAAAATATTATTGATGAATTCAAAAGGTTACAAACAACAACTTGTCAAACAATAACTAAATGATAACATACATAAAACAATACTTTAGGGCGACAACGAAGGCTGGACAACCTGAGGGGCGCAAAATGGGGTTGAGTCTATAGTGGGAAGGTATGTAGAGGGGGTTGTGTTTGGTTGACAATAGAGAAAAGGTGGGTGGTGGGAGGGAGAAAGAGGTGAGCTACAACACGTGGAGGCTCTGTATGACATTATGGTAACAACAGGGAGGGCGAGAGGTTCATTGCTACATCGGTAATGCTGGAAACAACTACAACTGTTTCCTGTAGACTTCAACGACTCAACCGGAAGGAGGAATTTTAGCTTGGCTACTGAACAAGGGGAGTTGCAAGGGTGGGGTGTCCGTTGAAGTTGTGGAACCGTGAGCTAGCAGCAGGTATGTGAGAGATTTGTTGGATGAGGGCAGCGGGAGATGTTTCGCGTGAAGCGCATGTGGAGGTCGCTGGCAGGCTGGGAGACACTGGCAAGGGGAGTGACTACTGCGAGGAGGGGGACGCTGTTGTGATTTGTGGTCAGCGGGAGACAGCAGGGCAGGTTAACCGTGGAAATGAAGGTGCTAGGAGTAGATGGCAGCAAGGAGGATGGTTTGTGGCTGTCAGGAGCGGGACCGAAGGCGCCGTGGAAGGATAAATGTCTCGTCGTGGTCGAGCTACAGCCGGAACACCACTCGGACCCTTGGAGACGGTCACCACCTCAGACGAAATGTAGCCGGAGCACCTTCTCGTAGTCGAGTACAGCCTCTGGAGGGGAAGAACACCTCAAAGGCAGCAATTGAAATTTACAATTATCAAAACTGTTCTCTTTAGCAAACAACAAGTATGAATAAGAGGGGGTTAATAGAATGATTATGCAAGTAGAAGAATAGACAATAAATAAAGGAAGAGGGATGTGAAAGGAAGGAATTTGAAATGAAGATAGAAGTGGAAGGTGTAGATAAGGTAGATAATGAATAGAGAGAACATTTTTATTGAAGGGAGAGAAAATGAGAGAGGAGGAAGCTAAGAAGGAAAGAAGAGGACACGGTTACTGTAGCAGGTACAATAACGCGTATGCAGTATTGTAGAAGGCACAATAATTCGTCTGCGGTAGTGTAGCAGCTACAACACTGCTTTCACGGCAGGCTCTCGCATCAATCTATCGGGGGGGGGGAGCTTCGACCTTAATCTTTGAAGCTTTTAAGATAAAAATTTTTTGGTAGGGGTAGCTTAGGTAGGGGCGGATGTTAGGGATCCTAGGATATGACTAGGTTTAACCTGACTCATATAACAAATGATATCAGAGGAAATCCAAACTAAAATATGAAAACAAAAATCATAATTGATGAATTGAAAATGTTACAAAGAAATACTCGTCAAATAAGAACTAAATGATAATAAACATAAAACAATACTCTATGGCGCTAACAAAGGTGTTGGACAGTGGATGGATAGCCTGAGGGGCACAAAATGGGGTTGAATTAGTAGTGGGAAGGTATGTAGAGGGGGCTGCGGTTGGCTGACCACTGAGAAAAGGCGGGTGGGAAGGAGAAAGAGGTGAAGCTACAACAGCTGGTGGCCCTGGATGGCATTATGGCGACAACAAGGAGGGGGAGAGGTTCATGACTAACTTGTAATGCAGGAAATGGTTACAACTGATTCTTGGAGACTTCAACAGCTCAGAAGAAGTAATTTTGGCTTGGCTTCTAGATAGGGGAGTTAAGGGAGTGGGAAGTCCGCTGAGTCACGAGAGTAGGGAGTCCGCAGAAGTAGTGGATCCATGAGTTAGCAGCAGGTACACGGGATGCGACAGAGGCTGATGGGGGGAATTTAGGATGCTAGTGGACTGTAGGTGTTGCAGGGAGGAAATAGGAAGGCTATAAGAAAATAGCCGCGGGATGAGGGCAACGGAGGACTGCCTGCAGGAAGTGCAGGCGGAGGTCACCATTCTATGCCATAAAGCATTGTAGGTCTCACCACCATCTTATAAAATTTTCCTTTAGGTCTTGTTGCACAATAGGCCTGATGAATTCCTCCAGTTCAACCAACTTGAATTTTACTTATAACATCCCCATCTATATCACCCTCACTTTGAACAATAGACCCGAGTTATCTAAAACTTTTACAACTGTTAATGAATTGATCAGCCATAGTTATCAATCTGTCACTAGATCTACTTTTACTAAAATTACATTCCATGTATTCAATTTTATATCTACTCAAATGAAGATCTTGAACGTTGGAAACTTATTGTAAGCTTTTTCTAAATTAATAAAAAACCATATGTAGATGCTCCTTACTCTCTATATACTTCTTCATCAAACCTCTCAATAAATGTATAGCTTCCATATTAAACTTGCCTGACATAAATCCAAATTAATTATGTGAAATCTATGTATCACATCTTAACCTATGTTCAATTACTCTCTCCTATAATTTTAATGTATGACATATTAACTTAATTATTAACTTAATTCCTTAATTTGTACACTTTTGAAACAAATGAATAGTTAGAATAGTGAACAAAGTATTTAGAATATAAAAGTTTAGGATTAGTTATATAAAGATTGAGTATATGATATATAATTCTAGTAGGTGTGATATTATTGATTAACAGACAATGTTATTAGAATTGAAAGTGATACTTAGCAATTGTGAGTTTAACCATCTTGGAAATATTGTTTAGAAATGCATATATAAATGAGGGTATAACTTCTATTGTCAAAGCTGTGTGATTAAAATATAGAAATGGCTTAGAAGTACTATGTGATAAAAGATTATGAAAGCCGCATTGGCCTAGTAGTTGAGATCTTTGTCTTTCAACCAGGAAGTCCTGGATTCAAGGCCTTTCATATGCGGTATTTGTGTGTGCGTGTGTGAGAAAAAAAAAATACTATGTGATAAAAGATTATGGTTATGTCATTGTTGGCTAGGTATGTGATATGGATTTGAATGTTGGAAAAAAAGGAAAATAATTTAGGTGCAATTGAACTACGAATATTATGGTAGGTGTGTAACAAAGAAGGATTGGTTAAGAATTGATTAAAATATGCAAGTGGTGAGGGTGATATTTTTTCAGTATAATAAGATAGTAAAAATGGAGTTAAGTGGTTTGGGCAAAGAAACCAAGGGTGGATACATGATATTAAGGTCAAAAGCTTTGGAGAAAAAGTGGTTACAACGAACGTTACTTGGATATAAGTTGTGCGAAATAGATTTATCGTCTCATGAGCATGGATGAACAAAGACTAGGAATTGATAAATTAGCTCTAATTAGTTTGTGTTAGAAAGTAGATAATTGAAAATATCTATAGCTTTACTAATTTAAATGAAACTAATAATAAAATAAAAAATGCAATAAAGCGGAATATCAACAACAACAACAACAACAACAACAACAACAACAACAATAATAATAATAATAAATAATGTAGATTTTTATATTATACATAGTTAGATTATGAGTTAATTTTAAAAATAATCTCATTTGGGCATGTAGGAAGAAAGGTGAAAAATATACTAATATGATGGGTACATGAAACTAACATTAAACAATTAGGACGAAAAATGGATAGATCGAAGATTAATTTGATTTAAGTTTTGAAAAGTAAGTCTAGAATTTCATGTGGTACTATATAAGGATAAATAGAGAATGGGGATTTCTAAATCCACTCTAATTAATTGGTGTTAAAAGGGAGATAATTGAAAAGAACTACATCTTTACTTAATTATCTTCTTGATACAAGCATATATAGCCAAGAGATCAGAGCAATCAAGAAAAAAAATACAATAAAAGAAACGTCCTTAATAATGAGGAAATATACAAATAATATGAAATATAGATTTATATTATAAATAGTTAGTACATGTAATAATTTAAATATGGTAATGCTTGTAGCTAAAAAAATATCAATTTTATCTTCAAAATAATAGATGTCAGAGATTAAATAGGTTGAAGATTTTGCTGCCCAAAAGTTATGAGTGATATTAGAGGAGCGTGAAAGATTTATGAAGGGGAAATTATTGTGAAGTAAATGTTAAAACTCAATAATACAATCAATGATAGCTAATACACTTAATAAGATTTTTATGCAAAGATGTTGATAGAGAGCTACAACAGATATTGACACATGATGTAGAATATTGATAGAGACATCTATATTGGTAACTATAACTATCTCTAAATAGCTTCAAGACTTTATCGTGATAGGCGGAGATTTGATCATATAGAGGGTGATTCGAGGCATTTTGAGGACCTACACCACTGTGTGCCTGGGAGGAGATTTGAAACCCATGAAAAGTCACCAGACAAGGATGATGAGAACCCACAAGATGTTGGTGAGGCGACATATAGCTCTATGTTTACATTCATTACGTTTGTATTCTGTGTGTTGGTGTATGTACAAGCATGCATCATGTTTATGTATGCGCCCATTTATGCATTTATCCGCTCATGCTGTACAAGCCAGTTCAAAATATTTTGAGCACCTGCCATTGGGTCCACACTAAATGAGCTGATGTGAGGAAAATTTTAAGAAATACTTAGCTTTTGATGTATGAGTATCATTGCTGGTAATGGCTTAGTATTCTTCTGAGATGAACAAGGCAGATGCATTATTTTTCTATCCTTGTTTCTACCTTTTTATTCCATGTATTGTATGCTTTCACACGTTCCGGTATATTTAAAAAAAAATGAATTTCTTCAAAATATTTTGGCCTAATTCCACAAACATGTCACTGAAGAATTATCAGGCACTCATTTATGATATTGTTTTCTAGTAGCATAATTGCTCCTTCGATTATTTTAATCATTAAATATTGTAAATAAATTTATCATTTGTGATTTAGCTTTTTGAAATGCCGTTTCTTTCAGGTGGATAATTTTATCCATGCAGATATGCATCCTGGAAATATTCTTGTCCGAGTGTCTCAATCCAGACGTCCAAGTAAAGGGTTCTTCAAGTTGAGGCCCCATGTTGTTTTTCTTGATGTAGGCATGACAGCTGAACTTTCCAGTGGTGATCGTGTAAATTTGCTTGAGTTCTTCAAAGCTGTTGCTCTTAGAGATGGCCGTACTGCGGCAGAGTCCACATTGCGACTATCCAGGCAACAGAACTGTCCTAATCCAGAGGCTTTCATTGAGGTACGAACATGCTTACAATAAGTCATGCCAGCTGCAAAATGCCTTTCTCTTGCTTGACTTTATAAACAAGTTTTGAACACATTCCTTAATGTTGAATGAGAAGAAACAATCTTAGCATGTGTAAATGGAGAAACTCAATGATTTCAGTTTTGCACATTATATCCTATATGCAAGTTGAAGTAAAGGCATGAATAATTTGAACAGTAGGTGCATCAGTGAGATTCTCAAATTGCAGTGAATGCTTAATACTTGAACTAAAATTATACTCTTTTGGTCATCTTTGGTTTTAAAGTGTCATGCTTATGCAGTCATGGACTGGCGCGTCAAGTTCCATTAAATGTGTTATTAATGACCATTGCAATTACTTTTATATAAAATAAACTGTGTTTATCAAATAGTTGGCAATTGTTTTATGAAGTAGGTGATGCTTGACTTTCTAACTTAAGGCACGAAGGCAGTTAACTTGCTTCTATGCTGTCAAATTTATGTTCTATAAAATCAAGTTTATGATAGTTGATTAAGTGCGGCGTATATTATTGAAACCAAACCCCTGCAGGAACTAACCCTAATTGTAAGTCTAAGGGTAAATATAAAGGCCGTAAATGCTTTTTTTAATGGCATGCTTTTGGTATTACAAATTTGCTTTATACGTAGAGCAATAGCTCGTTTACCTAGTTTATGCTTTGGGAAATTTGTGGAAACATACTTCTAGAATAGTTTATTATGTATGATAGTAGTGGTGACTTTATTTCAATAAGCACATCACAACTAAACAACATTTCCAAATGAGGATTCAAGTCAGTACGAGGGCATGTTCGTTAGTGAACGTTCTGTGGTAAATTTCTGATGGTAAACTTCTATACTTGCTAACCTTCAATTGTAAAACTCTGATAATTTATTCTTTTATTGATATTAGGTTTCAAAATTTTTTCTTCAGCTCACTAATCCTAATATATGCATTCTTGCACTTTTTTTCAAAAATACTGTCATGACTGTACTTACACGCCCACTTTATACATGCCATTTCTTGTTGCTCTAGCTGCTCTCTTCCTTTTTATTATTAGCACTATGAGGTTTGTTTATCGATATTAACTTCAAAATCAAGTCTTCTTCTTTCTTTTTGCATTAGCAGCAAGTTAAAATAAACTTAGTTATCTTTATTTTAATCTAGATTCTCTTCACTTTCCTCATTCGTAATTTCTTATTCATCAGTCCAGCTGGAATTGCTTTATTTTTTCTGGCATCAGGCATATAGTTTTGTTTGTGGGGACTTAATAGTTTTGTTACTCAAATCCCATATCGAGCATTATCATTTTGCTTCTCATATCTTGCTTAATTATATTACAATTAACTGTTATGTTATATTCAGCCAGGTGTGCTTGCTTTGTATCTCCACCGTAGTTATGTTTTTGTTGTCCGCTAAAAGATCACTGGTTTTTTTTTTTGGTGATATCAGATGCATAAGCCATATTGAAACCATTATGTTTGAGGTTGCTAGCTTTGTCTTTTTGATCTACATTACAAGAGTTAACTTGTTTAGAAATAGTATTTGTCTACATTTGAGGTTTTGACTGATGAGTTGCTTCTCTCTGACATTCCTTAACATGTAGCAAACTTGTTTTTGCCACCTCAATAATGAACTGGCAATTAAATTTTTTTGTTCTAATTCCTTTGGTCTCTCTAGGAGTGATTTCAAGTTGGGGTTGGGCCAACTTGCTCGACCTGATTTTTTTCTTTTTTTCTTTTTTATTCTAGCTTAGCTAATTCATCACTTGAATTGACATTATTGATTCTATCAAATTCGAATCAACATTAGTCGACTAAGTCGACTCGAATTCAATTTTTAGCCAACTCATAATTCATTTTAAATTAACTTTATACATAAATGTACATGTTGCACTACAAATAGATGTGTATTATATTATATATATATATATTTTATAATTTCTAAAAATACTTATCTTGAGTCCACTCAACTTACATTCATGCGAGTAAGGCAAACTTGAAATTAATTTCTAGCCTTGCATGTAGTTTAAAATTGAGTGGAGTCGATTTACAGTCAAATTAAATGCTAAGTGAATTTTAAGCTTTTCTGAGAACCCGAGCTCTGTCCTTCCCTCCCTTCTTTCAACTTGCCATTTTGAATCATTTTTAGCATATCATTTTGTTTGGCATTTTATTCTCTATTTCTCACCTTTATTTATTTATACTTTGTCGAATGAGCATATCAAGTTCTCATGATACTAGTCTTTTACGTGTAGATTTTAAGTCAACTTTTTGTCATTTTAAGATTTTAACGTGATTAAAATGAGGTTATACTTATCTTTGTCAACCTATAAAAGATTGTGTTCTACTTTGTCTCGACCCAACCTAAGATTGGAATTAATCAAGGCGGAACCATATAGTCAAACGAAGAAAATTAATCTATTTTATTTATTTTCTATAACTAACTTTTTAATAATGAAAGAACCACTATAAAAATAAATTATTGTAATACAGTTAAATTTATCTTTATTTTGGTTTTTCTTTCCCTCTATAAACATTACCTTTTATATTGTTCATCTTTTAATGAAATGATTAAATCTATAATATTAATTTAAAATAATAATAAGCTAAAAATGCAGTGAGTACACATATTTCTAAATCATTGTAGCGTAACGAGAATGAAATAATATGCATGCTTGTTAAACTTTTAAATAAATTAGTATTAAAACATTTGATAATTTATAGATATGATCGATCATGATATTTCATAAGATTCAATTTATTTTACTATATTAATAACACGTCTATATCTTTTTTTATTTATATAAGCATCAAAGGAGTGTTGTCTAAATTTGTATCATTTAAGGTACTTCATTGTCGATAGTCCTCATTTACGTACATGGGTCCCTTAGTGTTTTCTCATCAGTACCACAAATGAGTGGAACTCTATCATAACCAATTATGCGCATGCAATCAGTTTATGCAATTTATATGATTCATATGTTTTTTTCATTCAATTCAATATATTTTGTGTTCATTTACATAATGCATAATAGTAGTATTTTAAAAATGTAAACTTGTCACAATAATATGACCAACATCTAAAAGAGCCTATAAAACATAGTAAAATAGTTCAAACATATTTGAATAATAATGAATGCATTCAGTTTAGAAGAAACAAAAGCTACTATAACCTAGAAGTATGAATATTCAGTTTGCTTTCAGATGATTTTGCTTGTTTTTAAGTTCTGCAATAGAATATCTAGCATTAATTACAAAATATTTTTATTGGTAAATTAACTAAATGATTTATTGTTATTTATAATTATTGCAACATTATATGAAATATGATACTAATTTATATATATATATATATATATATATATATTGAAAGCCCAAATGAGCTCATAGATTAAATAGAAAGAGATATTTATAATTATTGCAACATTATATGAAATATGATACTAATTTATATATATATATATATATATATATATATATATTTAAATCCTACCACTTAATTTATATTTTATTATATAATTAAATTATTATTATGATTTAAAATCTTGATTTAATTATCATGGAACTATTATTTATCTTATTATCAAATTTGATATTAATTTATTTAAAAGTAAAACACCTTTTAATTAAAGACTTATCTGGATCAATTTTTCGAATCTATTGACTCACATGCACTTTTTCCTTGTTCGCATAAATGATCCCAAAGTCTTTTATGCTAATCTTCCTTACCTCAATTAATATAATTCTATTTTTAACATCTTAAATGTATATTCATTTAATATATATATATATATATATATATACATAATTATTTTTTTTTTTAAAAAAACCCAGGGGTTGATATATTAAAGATAAAGATAAAGATAGGTTTGTACGGGTGGGCCTAAACACTCAACCCACACGGTACAACACACACCAAAAAATGTATATATATATATATATATAAATTAGTAAGCCAGCCTAACACATACCTTCACCTCTATTTGGTGTGGTTCGGTACCTTCTGCACAACAAAAGCCGCATGTGACAGTTCGGTCTTCCACATGCGTGGCTGCCTCTTCATTGGCTCACACAAAAGCCTTCTCTTCCTTTTTCCCTCACACAAGAACACACATGTAGCCCCTCCCTTCTTTGATGTCGCGCAACTCACCTCTTCCTTGTTGCATACGAAGCCTTCTTATCTTCTTATTGCACAGAGTTTCGATTGGTTCGACTGCCTGCAACTCTGGAATCGTTAAGTTTTATCTAATCAAACACCTCACTCGTTTGATATGAGTGCAAATCGTATCAGTGCCCTCATCTTTGACTTCATTTGATTTTGCGCGCTAAGAAACGTCTGCCTTCTTCCTCTTTCTCACGTTGCAACTTATGGATGCAGGTATTTGAACCTAAGCTTGATCTTCTGCTTGATTTGCTTTGTCCTACGAAACAGATCTATTTACTGCGATTATATAAGGTTCATCTTCTTCCCATTGTCAGTACCGTATGTGCTGGGATAACCCTGTCCTTCGATGTTTGTACTACTGTCCGACCTTCTATATCCACCTTGGTTAATTTCAAGCCACGGGCCGGGTCATTACAAAAGTGATACCAGAGCTAATGCTTAGGATTAATTAATGTAGTCTTGATAAAAATGCTAATAGGGTAATTGTAGAAAAATTTTAATAAGAATAAAAACATGAAAGTTAACTAAAATTAATAATTATATTCATTCTGACATTGTGATACAACCGAAATTATAGAAGAAGTGAGTCCAATGGAAAATTTATAGAGAGATCTTGTCGACCGACTTAAGGAGAAATGACTTGTTGTCTTCTTTTAAATTTCGAGGCTGGAATTTTTGTAAGTGGAAAATGTTGTAACTTCCCATTTCAGTTACCCTAGGGAGAAGAAATAAAGAATCGAAGAAATAAAAGCAAGGATCCGAGCAAATAGGAGATGAATCGAGGGGGTCAGATAGCTGAAGAAATGGGAGATGTAGCGAAAGGTTTGGG